GGTTTATGAAATGCAGGCATTCCAGGCAGGGGATGCTGGGAGAAGGGCTGGTAGTCTCATTTGACTGCATTGAGGGGTCCCATATAGCTAGATCATGTTAAGTAAAATGGGGAATGAAAAGAGAAAATTAAAGGAGGTAGAGCAATAATTCATCCCCCTCTCTCTACTGCTTATATCCAAGTCAAGACTATCATTATTCCTTGCCTCTTGCCCACAAGGAAGGCTCTATCTCCCAGCCTCCCTTGCAGTCAGAATTGGGCCAACGTGAATGGGTTCTGGCCACAGAGGTATATGCTGAAGTGTTTAGATCACTTCCAGGCCTGGTCATAAAACCCCTAAGTGATCATCAACACCTGCTCTTCCCCGTCCTGATAACGGTAAAGGCAATGAGATATATTAAAGACAACAGTGTCAAAACATGCATGGAGCCTGGATGCTCAAGTTACCACTCCAGAGTTGCCTAGGAGAGCCACCCAATTTAACTACACTGTTAAGTGACCAAAAAATAAACCTCTGTAATGTTAAGGCGTTGATTTTAAAAAAATATTTCTTTCTTTCCAAAGTATACCTCAGCTTATCTCAATACCTTCCCAAGTAGTTTCTAATTCTCCTCTGTCTCATTTGAATGCACACAACTGCCAAAATAATTCTCTTAAAAAACAAATTGGATAATGCTCCTGCCTGTTAGATTTCCAAGGCTTCCTACTGCACTTACAATAAAATCTAAATTTCTTAACAAGGATCACAAGGCCCTCCATCATCTAGTCTCTGCCTTTTCTTCCAATCTCATCTCAAACCACTCTCTCCCCTCATTTACTATGTTCTGCCACTTGTCTTCTTTTCGTTCCTTTCTTGAATCAGAGCCTACGCACATGATCTTCCTTTTGCTTATAACATTCTTCCTCTTATTTTTGCTCTTCACATGGCCAATACAGTCTCACTTTTTAGGACTTGGCTTAAATGGCAGCGTTAGAGAAAGACCTTCCCTGATAGCTCTACCTCTTATTTTTTTCTTTCACAAGCAGCCCAACTATGCCCTGTGAAAAATTTAACTCCTATGTTATCAGAGTCAGGGGATCCTAAAACGGCTCTAAGTTCCCCAAAGCAAGAGGAGAGCCTACTACATTTTGATGTACTCTTTGTTTAAACAGTCCCATTCCTAAACCTGGGACATATATTAAGAAGATTAATGAAGCTTAGACAGCTTTGGATTTCCTCTCTATCGTATCTTCTGATTTTAGCTATGTTGTGGCAGTGTATGAATTGGTTGATACACACATTTTAGTTTCAGACTCACCAATGGTGTGTATATATATTTATGGCTTTCATTAGTCTTTTCAACTTGCTAAACAATGCTTAAAAAAACCTGAACATTAATAAAGATACTTTTTGTGTTCTTATGTCAGGATCACGTGATCCTATTAACAACAATTTCAGGTAATTCTTCATACAACTTTTTAGTTCTTTTGCTGCATTTTTCTTAACCAGTCATGTTAATATTTACTTTACAGTATCTATTGTGTTTGTGGCCACCTTTCCAAGGAAGGCAGATGGCAAAATGCACAAAGAGGTTGGGTATTTTTGAAGGAGTAAGAAATGGGTTCAGAAACCACTTCTAGTACCTTTGGTTTTCCCAGGCTACATGTCTAAACCAAGTCTCCATAAGATGGGGATAATAGTACTACCCAGGTGTTATTGTGACATTGCTGTGTATCATTATTGTGACAATAATGTGTAAAGGCATCAAGGGCTCTTCTTTATCCAATCTGATGCTGCCATCTTAGTTTCCCATTAACTAGTGACAACACAGGGTCCTGTGGTAGAACTCAGGTTGAAAAGATTTTCCTAGGCAGACTTCAAAGAGGTTTTCCTTTCTCAAAAAACTTTACAAGGATTTATTTAAATTTTAAGGTAGCCATACTTTTTTAATCACTATCTACATTTCTGAAAATGTTGGCCCAGAACTTTTTTATACACTTTTAATTTGAAATACAGTTGACCCTTCAACAACTCAGGGGTCAGGGGTGCTGAGCACCCACACAGTTGAAAATCTGTGTAGAACTTAAGTTGTCCCTCCCCGTATACAGATTCCTAACTACTTATAAGTCAACCCATACAGTTCAAACCCATGTTGTTCAAGTCAATTGTAATTAAAGATTCATAGGAAATTGCAAAAATAGTATATAGAGAAGTCCCCTTCACTCAGTGTGCCCCAATAATAACATCTTAAATAACCTGAGTACAATATCAAAACCAGGAAAATGACAATGGTACAATCCACAGAGCTTATCAAATTTCACCAGCTTCACACGCACTCGTGTGTGTGTGTGTGTGTGTGTGTGTGTGTGTGTGTGTGTATGCAATTCTATCACCTGAGGAGATTGATGATGGCCCAGCACATTTTAGTCTCTTATAGTTACAATGCTTTCAGACTCTAATAATAAAAACAATATTTATAATAAGATACCTGCTTTAATCTCAGCTATCATTCTGATACCTTCACCTTTAGTTTAACAGACGGAAAACAGTATTTGTAGTACACAGTATATAATAGCATTTAGGTTGATAAACTTGGATACAATTTTCCAGAACACAATAACACTTCCCAAAAGCAAGTGTCAGACTTAATCTATGTGAGACATGCACAAGAGATTCCTGGTGGAGAGAAAAACAGCTCTTCTCTCTAGGTCTACTTCTACTGTCAGGGTGAGCAGGAGCAGTCTGCTGGATGAAGTGCTGAACATGTGGAACTTGTTAAAATAATTTTTCTAGCAAGAAACTGATTTTTAAAGATTTATAAAACATATGAGTAGACATTCAAAGTGAAAGTGGCTTCATAAAACAGCATCATTTAACACTTGGATTATAAACTATATTCACTTTGGTCATGGCTCAGAATACACAAAGTTGGAGAAATACTGGGGGTGCCAAAAAATGTACAAGTTTTAAGAGATGTTATGCATGTATTATTTTTCAAAGTTGAATTGAATTATGGTAACAATGTGTAGTATGAGTTTGCTCAAAAGATGGCGTTAATCAAATGAATGCTAGTGTCATTCACTGTATTACAATTTTAATAGTTTTCTCCTTTCTTAAAATGTGTATACATTTTTTTGGCACCCCCAGTATTGTTATTTGCCTTTTGATGTAGTCAAGTGAAATACTGGTATGTTTTTTTGCTTGATGCTGGAGGAGGTTTGTTGTTGTTTTTAACTATACTAGTTGTCCAATGAGGAATTTAAAATTTTGAAAGAACGGCAATTAAACTCAAATTCAGGAATGAGTTCCCAACTGTAAAATTAACCATATGGACAGTATTAGTTCACAAGAGCATTCATATTCAAAGTAGAGTAATTTTTCTCAAAATGAAGATTGCAGCAGACCTCTGTGAGGAAAGTAAGAGACAGAAGCTACAAAGCTCTTTTTGGAACTTGATGGCACACTGATACTAGTCATCAGAACACACAGTCACTTACACCAACATCTTTTTCGCAATTATCCTTCTGTCCACCTGCCCCTGCTCCCACTCACTGCTTATAAAAGATGAGAGAGCAAGAAAGAACCATATTATTTATAGAATCTGTGAAACAAATAAAATGTTAAGGCTGCTCTCTCTCTTCCAAAAATAGGAAAATCACTATACTTTGTTTTGTTATTATATGAGAGAAAAACAGAGAAGCCTCTAAGAGACTATCCAAATGAAAAACTTGGTAACAATAATCTGTTAATTTAAACTAAATTAATATTAGGTCTAAGTGTCAAAGTTAGCTGGTAAATATGATAGTCTTCTTTAGATTGTAGACACAAGTAAGTTGAGAATGTGATCAAAAAGTTTTTGCTGTGCTAAACATTTATACTCCCAAACTTTGTCAACAAAAAAAATTATTAGTACTCAAGATGGGAAAGTTAGGATATTTTCCAGCTCCTCCTGAACTAGTCTTGCAGGTATAATTTCATTATTTTATTGCAAGTAATGTGTACTCTCTAATGTAATTATAAGAACATACTCCAAAACAACTTGAATATAATGTATTTTCTCCATTTGTTAGACAGTCTATATAGTTTATAATGCAAATAACCAATAGGAAAGAAGACAAATTCACCTACTGAAGCTCTTTAAGGACCTAAGGTTGTACGTTGCCTGTTTTATATCTTGTTTATATCTTACACAAAAGCTGCAATTTCACACTGAAATAGTTATTATATGCGAATAAAATCACTGTGCTGTAGATGGTCTTAGTCTTTTGACTAGACAACCCTGACAACACTTTAGAATATAAAACTTCCTTTAACAGGCAGTAAAGTCTATGTGTTGTCCTTTGCAGATAAAAATAATACACTAATATATTATTATTATTAATCCATGTGTGGCTTCATTTATGTTTTCAATGGTAGTGATTATTTTGCATTAAGCTCTGACCAAGTTCTCCCTAAGAGCAACAGAATCTTCTGAAATACAGCTGGATGGGTTAGGGATGCAATTTGTGGTAAACCTAGACAACCCTTATAAGGCCTCATTAACTGGTGCTCTCAGGAAATAATTCACTAACCACAGACAAAATGGAGCCAAGAATTTTCACTGACTGTTGTCCCATAGCCTACTAACATATGATGTGCTGCCCTTAAGCCCTCGACAGATACATTACCTAGTCAGACGTTTCCTTCTGGTCAAAACATTAGCTATAGGATTTATATAATTTCAACTATCTATCAGCAGTTCTATACACCAGATGAATCATAGCAGAAACAGTAAAATCTGTTACATGATAAGCCTCAAACTCTAATAAATTATGTTCATCCAGAAGGAAGGAAACACACACACACGCAGACAGACATTGTCATCATCAGTTAATTTCACCACATTCCTCAGGATATATTAAGATAGTATTATTCTAGGGACCTCCCCTAGTTATTTACAACACTCTCAAAGCTACAATAAGTGAAGACAGAGGCTAAATGAAAGAGAGTAATTAGCCCACAGAACTCACAAAGACGATTACCTGGTAGTCTGGTTTTGTAAAATAATCCAAAGAGGAGATGTGGTCCAGAAAGATGCTGAATTCTGGAGGGAGATGTTTCAACATAAGCCTGTGGTCATACCTCTCCTTAATAGAGCCTACTTGCTCCTGGGAAGTAAAGAGAAAAGGAACCGAAATCAATTCCTCTTGGCAGCTACACATTAAGAGTCTCTTAGTAACAGTCCCAAGGGTATGTGCAGAGGAATGAGATAGTGGGTAATTAGGTATAAAGCCAAAACTGAGTTCTTACTAATAGCTTAATGCACACCACTTTAAAAGGAAGGGGTGGGGGGAACTATAATGCAGAACCAAAGGGTAACACAAAGTTCTGCATCAGTGAATTGATAGCTCCCCAAAGAAAAAGTTGATCTTAAATCTATGTTTCTTTATCTACACAGGTTTTTACAGTTTTCAAGTCAAATAATATAATGCGACAATTGAAAATTAAATGATTAATAAAAATGACTTATAAAAAAGAAAAAGAGAGAACTAGTGAAAATAAAAGCTAAGAGTGAAGGCTAGAAATCAAATCAGAAGTGATAATTGTACTTAAATTAGTAACTATTCTCAATGTACATAGAAAAAGTCAAAACATTAATTAGATCTCTAATATCATGATGCTCAATAGACAGAAAAATACACATATTAGGATAGAGTTACAAAATGGAATACTATTCTGCCATAAGAAAAGATGAAATAGTGCCATTTGCGACAACATGGATAGATCTTGAGATTATTATGCTAAGCGAAATAAGTCAGACAGAAAAAGTCAAGAACCATATGATTTCACTGATATGTGGTATATAAAACTGAAAACAACAAAGAAACAAGACAAACAAATGAAGAAACAAAATCTCATAGACACAGACAATAGTTTAGTGGTTACCAGAGGATAAAGGGGGGAGGGGGATGGTAGATGAGGGTAAAAGGAATCAAATATATGGTGATGGAAGAAGAACTGATTCTGGGTGGTAAACACACGTGATATATAGATGATGTGTTACAGAACTACATACCTGAAACCTATGTAACTTTACTAACAATTGTCGCCCCAACAAACTTTAATTTAAAAATAAAGGACATAGTGAAAGTGCTTGTAAATTTTAATTCTTATACATAAGCATATTCTCAATCAAAATGACTACCCAGGAGAAATTTTTATTCCTTCCCCTACCAAAATTGACATTTACATTTTCAAAATTACCTTGTCCTTGATTTTTCTCCAAGGCAGCTGACCAACCACAAACTCCACCAACATGTAGAACAAGGACCAAAGGTCATCATGTCTTCCCATTTCCTTCATAAGCAAAACAGAATTCACATTACATTACCATTCCTTGAGGGTACATTACATTGTTTATGGCCTAACCATTGTGTTTCATCTAATTAGGCCTAATAATGTAGATATATTTCCCATAAATTATTTGGTAAATATATCTATATATTTCCATAGCTATACAGCAATCTATATGGAAGATTAGATACACTGAAGAACTTTTTGATACAAAGAAAACTCCAAAACCCAGAAATGCTATAAATAATATAATTAACAGCCCATTTATTAATAAATACATTCTTAAAAAAGAGAAGGTGGGGGAAATGGGGAGTGGAAATTATTGTTTAGTGGGCACAGAGTTTCAGTGTTACAAAATGAAAACGTTCTAGAAATCTGTTGCAAAATAATGCAAATATAGTTAACACTACTGAATTATACAATAAAAATGGTTATGATAGTAAATTTAATGTTATGTGTTTTTTACCACAAGTAAAAAAAAAGAAGTAAAGGAAATCATAAGAGCCAAAATTAAAAGAAAGTTGGAAACAATAGAAGCAAGCTGATGCTAACTAAAACATTGGTTTCGGCTGCTCTGCAGGTATCTGTCATAGCTTTTATCAACGAGAGTTTTATCAATCAGGAAGTAAATAGGCGTGAAAGCATTGAACCTATCCAACACAGGAGTTGTAACTGAGATACTCTCCCCACCATTATCATATAGCTAGGACCCTCAAAGGGCTATCTTTAGTGGAATATTTGGTATGCACATTATACTGCAGTATTTTTTTTTCTGTAGAATTCAACCACTATCAATGGGATAAAGTGAGTGGTCAAAAAGAATTTGCAGACCAGCCAAGTGGCTCAGTTGGTTAAGAGCTCGCCCAAGAGTTTGAGCTCTGAGCAACAGCAGTTCGATGCCCAGCCCGAGCTGAGCTGCCGCTGAGCGGCCAACAGGTGGCAGGATGGCTCAGCTAAAAAAAACCCCAAAAAACCAAAAAAACAAAACAAAACAAAAAAACAAAAAAAAGAATTTGCCCTGAGAATTTATTATCACAGTCCTGTCCCTCTCTCAGATTTGGGGTCTAAATTTATACCACTTCTGTGTTCTGGGAAATAAAGCCCAGAAATGAAGTGTTTTCTGGGTGATCCTGTCCTGCAGGTGCAAATGAAAACCTTGTGAAGATAAAAGCACCTTTAAATTCAGGACTTCTATGAGGCCCACCAAGTATAAGCTCATTATATGAAATTATAAAATACATTAGAAAGCAGGCTACCATAAGTTAATGACAAGAGAAACTATAAAGAATAGAATTAGATATTCAAGAATTTTAGAAATGGAATTAGAGGATATAGAACATGAAATGTTTAAAATGTTTAAACAAAAAATGAAATTAAAAGTCATAAGGGGCCGGCCGAGTGGCACGTTGGTTAAGGACTGGCTTGGGACGCCAGAGGGCCCCAGTTCGGATCCCACATATGAGGGCCAGTGACACTGCCCTCTACAGCTAAGATGATGAACAACAGCTCAACCTGGAGCTGGGCTGCCGTGAGTCGCCGGCGACGGCGTAGATTGCAGCCCTTGTGGCAGTGGGATGCCATGGGCTACCGTATGTGGCCAGCAGCCAGCGTGAGCGGCCTTCTAGAAGCTGGTGACTGATGTGTCTCGCCCGGGAAGAGCGCAATGATGGGGCCAACTTGGGCCAGTGAAGCAACGTCCTCCACAACTAGACTGAAGAACAAAAAACGACAGCAACCTGTCTGTTCCCCTTCCCCCAATTCCCCAGCACTGTTCCCATCCCCCAATTCCCCAATAAAAAAAATCTTAAAAAAAAAAAAAGTCATAAGAATGGAACCATATTCTATCCAAGAAAAAAAAAAAGACCAATTAGATTTGGAAAAGGACTAAAAAGAACATCTAGAAATAAAAAGTACAATTATAGAAATTAAAAACTCAAATGGACACATTAAAAAGCTGATCAAACACAGCAGAAAAAAGAATTAATGAAGACATACCTGAAGATATTATATCTAGAATGCAACAGAGACACAAAGAGTCAGAAAAACCTGAGAGTGAACTGAAGAGGCATAGAAGACACAACAAGAAGGTCTAACATATATCAATTTGGAGATATGAAGAAGAAGGTATAGGAGAAAGGGAAAGAGGCAATACTTAAAGAAGTCACGTCTGAGAATCTTCCAGAATCAATGGAAGACCAGAGTGTTCAGATTTAGGAAGCACGACAACTCCCAAACAGAATAAATATAAAGACATCTACACTTAGGTACATTTGAATGTATCTGCAGGACACCAAAGACAAAAGGAGGTATCAAAAGCAATCAAAGAAAAAAGGTAAGTTAAATACAAGGTAACAACAGTTAAATGGACAATGATTTTCTCAGTAGCAACCATAGAATAAGAAAAAATAGTTTCTAGAAAGTATTGAGATAAACAAGTATTAAACAAAGGATTAAAATGTAGGATAGCAATGAGACAAAGTGAACAGAGTTCAAGTGTTCTAAAAAGTCTTTGTACTGTTTGGGAACTGGTTATGTAAAAAGTTTAAGATTACGGTACAAAAAAAATGGAAATGGGAGAACACTATGTTTAGAAATGACCAAATCAGGGTTGCAGAGTGTGGAAGAAACAAGTTTACTAGAATTATACGCTAAATCTTTTAAAATTAGACAAGCATCTGTGAAGGTACCACTAGTTGCACTCCTGGGTCACCACAAAAACTGACAATCATTGTTGTGAAGCTATGTTACTATGTAAAGCATTCTGCTCCTCAGGTGTGTTGGAGCAGAAAAGAAGGGTAAGAACCAAGGCTATACAGTATCAAATTCCTCTACCAAGGTCGTATGAATAACAAATAATAAGGTTAACAAAGTAACTTTTAGAGCACTGTATGCTGGAGAGGCTTTTGGAAGAAATCTCCACTCTTCAAATTTACAAAAATAAAATATATATAATCTCTTTCTAGTAACTATTTTGGAAATAGCGAGTATGCTCTCTGAAAAGTTTATGCTTACCACAAAAAAAGTCCTATTTCAAAGATTCCAAAATTGACATAATTCTTTAATAGAATTAATTAGAAAGCCTTCTACTTCTAAAATTTTTTAAGATTCTATTTGGAAAATAAAAGAACTTTCTTTTTAAGGCAGAATAACTGCCTAGATGCCATAAAATAAAGCAACACTGAATCAAACCAAATGAGTCTTGGCAGAATGCTACACACTGATGAAAACACTTTTCCTATTTTCAATCTATAATCACATCCTAAGAAACCAAGTGAACTGGAGCATAACATAGGAGACCTCAACATATTCTTCCTATTATATTTAGCATTGGTCAAATTTTCATTAAAGCAATTTTGGCTTCAAAGAACAAAAATAAGGTAATGAAAGATCAAGAAAAGATTTAGGGCCAGCCAAGTGGCGCGTTGGTTAGGAGTTGGCTTGGGACGCCAGCTCTGAGAAGTAGAGACCCAGTTCGGATCCCACATGAGGGCCAGTAACGCTGCGCCCTCTACAGCTAGGATGGTGAACAACAGCTCGACCTGGAGCTGGTCCACCGTGAGTTGCCAGCAACGGCGTAGGCTGCAGTAGGGCTGGCTGGCAGCGGGCGTGCGCTTTCTTGAGCTGCTGTGAGTGGCCGTCCAACGGCCGGCAAGCAACTGCTTCACCTGGGAAGAGTGCAATGATAATACCAACATGGGCCAGTGAAGCAACGTCCTCCACAACTAGACTGAAGAACAAAAGGACAGCAACTTGTCTGTTCCCCTTCGCCGATTCCCCAACGCTGTTCCCCTTCCCCAATTCCCAAATAAAATCTTTTTAAAAAATTTTTTTAAAAATTATATTTTATCAAGGAATCACTTGTTAAAATTTTCAACTCCATCCAAACAAGTTCAAGGATTGAGAACCCACAAAATACCCACCTTTCCTACTCATAATTAAGGTTCAGGATGAGAAAAAGAAACCAGAACAGAGCAAAAGGACAAGAGAGAGAAAGAGAATATGAATTTAAAAATTAAACCCAAGAGAAAAGGTATAATTTACTAACATAAAAATTTTGAAGTTGTCTGCACTTGAGATCTTCATGAAAACAAAAGGTTTGATAGAGGTGCTATCACAGATTAGATGCATATTATAGGTTAAAATGATGACCCCTACATTTTATTAGGTATTGACAGTATGGTATTCCTAAATAACTTATTGAAATAGAACACAAATGTTTTACTTCTTCAAAATTCAATATTAAATTTATTAATATTTACTTATACCTAGGACACAAGATTCCCTATGACATATACTTAGCAATGATCTCTTCTGGCAAATCCAATTTTATTTTCTATGCAATTGCACACATCTGTTATCCACTACACACCTTACCATACATTAGTATTACTAATACCTTTCTCTCTGCTCCAAAGAACATTCTGCACCTTTGTACGCTAATGTAAAGAAATCAGTCTGATTCAAGCTATTGGCATGCTTATACTTATCTGACTCTCATTCAGGTACTTACCCTGTTCCGATGAGCGTTGATTGATGCATAACGAACTGTTCCTCGAAAGCCTGCCACAGCTCGAGGCTACAACAAAACCAAGCAAAGAATAATAAATGAACTTCAAATAGCAAAAGATTCAGTATACTTGTGCCCATTAAGTACATGTAAGAAAAAATGTGCATTACTGTCACAATAACACACTATTTAAATTTCTAAATTTTTATTGTGAAATATAGAAAATTAGAGATGTTAAAAAAGTGATTAACATCTTAGTTAACAACAAGCCCCATTTTTTACATTTTAAAATAAAGTAGTATCTATAACAAATAAACTCTGTACATTAGGAAACATTAAATGCTTTCATATACCCAGAAATATGCCAAGAATCATAGTATATACATTAATATTCAGGCTCTGGTTACAAATAAGTATATTAAGACCATGAAGAATCTCTAAGTAATGTAAGATGCCAACTTCTTTGTGTCTTGGCTATTTCATTCAAACTCAATTCAAAGATGGTGGCAACTTGAATTCCTCCCTATATATGCAATTTAAATATTCATAAATTCAAGTTAATGGGTACTTATTATGTGCCAAGTACTGGGAATAAATCCAAACATGAATAATGCATGATCCTAATTTTCAGAGAGTTGTACTTAGGATAAAGTCCAAACTCTTATTTGGCTTACAAAACATTCTATGATCTGGCACTGGACTCATTCCAAAATGGATTTATGTGTGGTTTCTCTTACAACCAATTTTGTTACTAGCTCAAAACTTTGCACTTGTTAGTCTCTTCCATTAGAATGCCATTTCTTTGCCTGCCTCCAATGGCTAGCTCTTCTACTCCATATTAAACCTTCTGCTCAAATATCACTTCCTCAGAAATATTACTTAATCATCCTAATCTAAAATACTACCCACCCATGCAATGTCACTTTATTCTTTTACTCTGCTTTATTTTTCTCTCATAATACCTTTCATTACCTAAAATTAATTTTATTTATATTTTTGCTTATTTATTGCCTGTCTTCTTCCACTAGAATATAAACTCTGTGATAGCAAGGTTTTTGTCTTGCTCATTTTACAGACATAGATACAGGTTCTGAGAGGTAAGAAAACTTGCCTGAGAACACAGAATTAGTAGGTGATAAAACCAGGTTATCAACCAAGGTCTTTTCACTTGAAATCATACACTATTTCCATTCTACTGCTTCACAATGATCAAGTCAGTCCCGTAGAGATTCATGGATGGCACTATAATAGCTCAATATGAAACCTGACAAATTTGAAAATGACTAGAGCCAACAATTTTCATTAGACTTTTTTTCAGTAATTTCAAATTATCCTCAATTAACATGCATTATTTTTGTAGTCAGAAAAAGACTATAATTAATGTTACTTTAAAAATCTTTAGTTATCAGAATCATTTTGGTCATATGCTAAAGCATAGGATAAACATTCTATGTCTTCCTCCTTTGTTTGCTCATTTTTGTAATCTATGTTTAATCTATTCAAATTAGTTGTCTATTTATTTCTTCTTTCATGAAATTCTTCCCCTTTAATTACTCCTTTTTACTTTTAAGATTTGACTATGTGTATTTAAAAAATATTCTTTGTATTTAATGACAAGTCCCAGTATTCAAAAAGCTTCTGCAATTTATTTAAATCCCCTTTATTTTCTCAGTTGCCATTCACTGAAAATCACAGCCAGTAGATCTCAATATTTTCCTAAGACATCATGACTAACAGGAATATACTCAATTTGGCTGATGGGACTCTGAGAATGGCAATTCCTCTTTCTAGAAGAAAACTGTGTAACAGGACATATATGAAAGCCCTTTTCACCAAATAGCATTTCAGAGGTTGTACTTTTATTCATTACTTGACAACAGCCTTCACTAAACACAAAAATATTTTTGTAGCATGTAATTTTGCCCAGTTATTTTCATTCCAGTAACTGTCAGGATGAAAATACCCAAACCTATTAGCACATTCTGCAGCTGAGTTTGTGGTTAATTGGGTACCAAGACTTCCCCCCAGTGGATTCCAGCCAAGACAAGCCCAGAAGACTCTCTCCAGTTAAGAGCACCCCTGGCCTGGCTCTGATCTTACTTCTGCCATGGGAAAGTTGAGATATAGGTAAAGAGAGATCGACTGTTTAGAGAGGTCTTAATATAACTGATTCGTCAAAGAAATAATATCAGGTTAAGAAAATTCAGCCACCTTATATAATGCAGGAAAGAATTCAACCCAACTGGGGAAAACAACTACGGTATATATATATATATACAAATAATTCTGATTCAAAGCAGATTACAATGAACATTGTCAGGAAAGTACAATGAGTTATAAAAGCCTAGGAGTGGTTAAGGATTAGTTCCATTTGGTGGAAAGGAAGAAGGAAGAGTCTTAAGAATAACATTTACCTGGGCCTTGACATAGGTGATCTCTTGATGCTTCCTTAATTGATGGCACTTTGGTAATATCTATCAAAATTACAAATGCGTATATTTTCTCTGACCCAGCAACTTCCCTAGTATAAATTAACCTTACAGATATACTGGCATATGTGCAAAAATAATGGATGTACAAATTCATTCACTACATTAAGTGTTGTGATAGCAAAAGACCAGAAGTAACCCAAATATTCATCAACAGGGAAATAATTATATAAATTATAGTACATCCATCTAATGGAATATACTTTGCAGCTGCAAAAAAATAAAAAATAAAAATGAAGCTCTATATTCTAATATAGAAAGATACACTTCTAGATACACTCCTGTTAAGTGAGAAAAAGAAACATGCAGAATGTACACCATGCTACCTTTTGTATCAAAAAGGGAAAAATGAGACTTTATGTCCATATTTATTGTATATGCATAAACATATTCTGGAAGAACAGATTAAGGAGCTAATGACAATACAGCTGTCTAAGGGTGGAGGGGGGGATAAGGGCAGTATAGGACAGGAGTGGGTTTGGGACAGCAAGGTGAAATGGAGATTTGTTTCAAGGTTTACCTTTTAATTTTTTTCAAGGTTTAGTGAGGTATAATTTATATACAATAAAATTCATACTTAAGGTATACACAGTCCTATGAGTTTTTACAAAGATATATAGTCATATAGCTACCACTGCAATCAAGATGTAGAATATTTCTATCCCTTCAACGGTTCCTTAATGTCCTTTGTAGTCAGTCAGTCCCTTCCCCTCCATTCCCAGTCTCTGGCAACCTCTGATTTCTGTCTATCACCTCTGAGAATTGTCAGGGGTTTTTTAGGTTTAACCATTCTCATTACTATGTAGTGGTATTTCATGTGGTTTTAATTGGCAGTCCCCTGATAACGAAAGATGCTCAGCATTTGTTAATATACTTATTTGCCATTTGTAGTATCTCTTCTTTGATGAAATCTTTTGCTCATTTCTATCGGTTTGTTTTTTATTACTGAGTTGTTTATAGATTCTGGATATAAGTCCTTTGTCAGATGTGTGCTTTGCAAATATTTGTTTCCCAGTCTGTGATTTGATTTTTCATTTGTTTAACAGTGTCTTTCAAACAGCGGAAATGTTAAATTTTGATGAATTTTTAATTTATTTTTGCAACATATGAATATAGTAATAACTTTTCAAAAGTTATATTTAAAAACATCTTTAAAGAAAACAAGTAAAATGTGGGCGTGGTTAACAACTTAAGAACATGTTTTTAATAAAATAAATACCTCGATATTTAAGTGAAAACAAAAAAGAAAAAATATATTGGGCCTAGAAGAACTGACAGAATTACCACAGAAAGAAGAAAATGCATTTTAAGTAAAAAGAACACAATGAACGATGCCAAAAGAAAAGAAAGTACTGTAAACGTTAGGTGAAAGAGGTGGTACGGTTGAAGCAAATGGTAAGAGAAAATAATGGAAAAGTAAGCTGGAATCAGATTAAGGATGGCCTTGAATGTCATATTAAGTTGTTTGGTTTATAATGTACAGTCAAATGAATTCATAAAAAAATTTTAAGTAGGGAAGTGATATGATTGAGAATGTTTCGTATGTTTACTCTGATGGAAGCATAAAGGATAGACTGGAAGGAGAAGGTAGGGAGACCAATGAGGAAACTATTTTAATAATCCAAAGAAGAAACTGTAAGACCTGTAGAAGGACAGAAGCAGAATGATGTGAAGAAGGGGATGAATGTTAGAGACAGAATGAACTCCTAGAAGAATAAGTCTAGGAGAAGGCAAGGACTCTAGGAATGAGCCTAGACTTACTGGTAACCAAAGTGAGGGAGCCAGGGAGAAAAAAAAAAGGCATGGAGAACTATGTAATAAAAACCCCAATAAAAATAAGAAAATAGTTGAAACTCTGGAAAAGTAACAGAGAAAAAAAAACTTAAAAAATTTTTCTTAATTAGGTCACTACAACCCAAGGCACTGGAAGTTTCAGCAGAATGGTTAGGAAGCAGAAAACATGGCATTCCAAGAGCTTAAACACAAAGCGCCAATGCGAGGTGCCAAACGAAGGGCTAAGGAAACTGGGGCATGCTTTAAACCAAGATAATACAAATGAGCATGCAGCTTTTGGTGGCTGTGAAGCTGGAGAGATCCCAGCTGGCCGGACGTCCGATTTCATTATCCTCTCATCCTTTCAACCCTCTCCCGAAGGCTCTCAATAAAATGGTTTGATTCCCCCAACCCCCTAAAAAAATGAGCATGCTGATTGAAATCATTAAGCAAATAAAAATTCAACTCTGAAATTGTATGGATCTAAGTATTAAAAATACCTATATAGTTCAGAATCTCTTTGTACCTCACATCTCTGTTTAATATAACTAATATATCTTAAAGGTGATAAAGAGTAGACGCTCTCAAACCAACCACATAAACAACTGACTAGTGTCACAGAGGTGACACTGTAATGCATGCTAACTGATGATCCTATACCATAGGTTTGGTAAATAAATACACATTTATGTTTTCAGGGAATTTCTTTGTGATGATGGAAGAGTTTTATATGCTGATTGTGGTGTTGGTTATAACAAATCTATACATGTGATGAAATTGCACATACCATTCCCAAACCCCCCAAGAAAAAGTGCATGTAAAAAATAGTGAAATCTGACTCAGGTCTGTACTTGATTTAATAATAGTATACCAATATCAATTTCTTAGTTTTGACAATGTACTATGATTATGTAAGATATTATCACTGGGGGAAGCTAGGTGAAGGGCACATGGTAACTACACTACTTTACAGTAGCTCCCTGGCCAATAAAATAGCAACTTCAATCTAAATGAAATTTAAAATTCAGTTCCTTGTTTGCTCTGCTCACAATTCAAGTGCTCAATAGCCACATGTTGCTAGTGGCTACCATACCAGACAGTGCAAACGCCGAACATTTCCATTTTCAGAGGAAGTTCCAAAGGGATGCGATCAGCAGACCACAGGATGCTTCTAAGGTGGTAATGAGCCATGGATGTTATAATACTTATACTTAAAAAGTATATGTGTGTTTTTTACATTCTTTTGGAATATATATAGCAAGACAAAAAAAATAATCAAAATATTGGTTTTCGTAGAAAACATGATGGCATACTAGCCAATCCAAGCAACTCACTTTAAGTTTCCTAAAAGCAATAAATAAATCTACAAAGGCAACTTTTGGTTTTATATTAATGGAACAATATGAGTGATTTCAATCATAATCATGATCCAAAAGTATGAAATTAACTTTATTTGAGATTTAAACAAAACGACGAAATCCTACTGGCGCAAAAACCCTAAAAGGAACTAGCTGTCAGTACATAAATAAAGGAAATTTCACTCCTTACACAGCCTGGGCCAAGTTCGACCACAATACTACTCTCCCTTCCACAGTGCTAACCTGACCCCAACCCAGGTTAAACCCAATTCTTGAACTAAACTGCACCTCTAAACAAGCAGTTAAAGGTATCAGAGAAAAACCACACAACTGTATGACTTAGATTGTCATAATACTTAAATGTACTGAAATCATTCCCTCGGGTCTTAACATTCCAAGACACTCCCTTATGACTTCAAAAAATCAGTACACAAAAACATTCAAGTCGACAACTACAAGACGACACCCACTACCAAATCTAAATGCCTACCTGCATGTGTCCACTTAGTCTGCCTTTTCTCAGCTACAATAGAAAAGTGTTCTTGCTCTTACATAATCGGCTAACCTCATCATTTGTGCCAGGATTCCTTCCCGTCAGCTATGCAAGAACTTGGCTCCTCTCATTGTTCCTGCTCTGTCCTACATTATCAATTTTTTTCACGTCTCCTGGAGCATTACCATCAGTACACAAGCAGGCCATAATAACTACCATTTAAAAAAAAATTAGGGAAGGAAGAAAGGATGGATTTGACTGCTCTTTCAACTACTCCCGTTTTACCAGTCCTCTTTAGAACAAAACAAACTCCTCCAGAGAGTTGCCTATACACCCTTTCTCCACTTCCTCTTCACCTTTCTCTCTCTAACCTACTCCAAATAGGTAAGCCAGATGGTCAGTTCTCAGTTCCCACTTTAATGGACCTAGCAATAACATCTGATACAGGTGACAATACCCCCACATACTTGAAGCACTTTCTCCACTTGGCTCCCGAGATATCATACTCTCCTGATTTTCCTCCTACCTCACTGGCTAATCCTCCCTCTCATTCTTCTTGGCTAACTCATAGTTCTTCTCTATCCATCATCAAGTTGCTGAAGAGTTCCTATGGTTCTGGCTCAGGACCTCTTTTCTTATCTGCTATACCTTCTCCCTAGCTGACCTAATCTAGTTCCATTGTTTAAATTACCATTAATTTTTAAACATTGGGAGCAAATAATTCTTAACTTTATATTACCTCCAGCCTTGATTTCTCCTTTGAGTTACAGATTACTATATCATATCATCTTCTTGTCATTTCCATCTGAAATCTAACAGGCATCTCAAACCTAACTTCTAGAAATAGAACTGTTGTTTTTCCCTCATTGATTCTGCTCTTCATCCTTCCCCATCATGGTTAATAGCATGACCATTCATACAGGACAGAAATTTAGAAGTCACTCTTATCTCTTTTTCTTTCACATCTCATTATCAAATCTAAAAGAGAGTCTTGTTAAATCTATCTTTAAAAGAAATCTTAAACATGGTCATTTCTCACCACCTTCCTTGTACCACCCTAATGCCCTAGGTCCCAACCACCATCAATGATCACTGGACCACGGCATTCGTCTTCTAAATTGTCTTTCTGATTCTACTCTTGCTCTCAATCGTCTCTTCTTCATACAGCCATAGTGACTTTTTAAAAAATTTGTTCTAAATATTTTTAAACTGTTATTTAATATATAATATTTCAGAAATGATTTCAAATCCAATAAACTGCTTAGAGCCTAACTTCTTTACCTGCCTGGCTACCACTTAACACAAGAACACTGATAAAACCAAAGATAGTATTCCCAGAATTTCTAGGCACTTAAATTCTCATGTGGTTGTTTTAAATATAACCTACTTCTGTATATAACTCTACTATACAGTTAGGTTATTGACAGATCACGTAACAGATTATACAACAACCATGCTCAAAATTTTCCGAAGGCTTTCTGTCACTCTTAGAATAAAATCCATCTCTGCAAAATCATACACAATCTGGAAACTACCAACCTCTTAAACCTTGTCTCTCTCCACTTATCCCCTCCCTCATCATGCTGTGCTGTGTTGTGCTGTGCTATGCAGCCTCCCTGCTTTTCCTCGAATACACCAAACTTATTCTGCCTCAGAGCCTTTGCACTTGCTGTTCCCTTTGCCTGGAACACTTTCTTTCCAGATATTCACAGGGCTTACTCTCATACTTCATTCAATGCTCAACTCAATTTTAATTTTCTAAAACAGTCTTCTGTCCTCACTGCCCATCACTCTACTTTGTGTTTCTTCATAGCATTTATCACTATCTAAAATTATGTATTTATTTGCATATTATCTATCTTCTCGACTAAAATATAACCTCCATAAGAGCCTCGTTTTGGTCTACTTGTTCACCGCAACAGTCCCAGCACCTACATCCATGCTTCACACATAATATGTGCTCATTAAATACATTATATGAGTGAATAAAAAAATTACCTGATAATATTCTAGAAACTAAAAAAAAAAAAAAAGGCACTTAGAGTAGAAATAGGATTCCAGAAATACATTAAAATATAATAAGCTAAATAGAAACTAAATTCATCACCTACCTTGCTACCTATTAATGCAGGACCTTCACTTGAACCAAAAAAATTCTCTCATAATTTCTAGGCACTTAAATTCTCATGTGCCTATATTTTAAATATAATTTGCATTTATGTATACAACTCTATTATTGTATACTTAGTTCACTCAAAACCAATGTTTCAACTTCTGTGCAACTAATTTGCTAGATATGAAAGTCACAATCAGTACCAAATTAAAACAAACTAAAGTTTAAAAGTAGACATAGGAGGTAGAACAATTAAGTTTGCAAACTCATCCTAGAAAAAGTGCTACATACATACCTCATTACTGAATATCACTACGGTTACCTTCAAAGTACTCCCCTTGGGAAGCTATGCACCAACGCCAGCGCCTAGCTCACCCTTCAAAGCAATTTTGGAACTCTTTCTGGAATAGCCATCAGAGCTGCTGTTGTATTACCCTTGATGGCCTGAATGTCACCAAAATGTCTTCCTTTCAATATTTCCTTTATCTTCCGGTAAACAAAGAAGTCACTGGGGGCCAGATCAGGTGAGCAGGGGGAGTATTCCAATATAGTTATTTGCTTACTGGCTAAAAACTCCCTCACAGACAGTACCGTTTGAGCTGGTGCATTGTAATCATGCAAGAGCCATGAATTGCTGGTGAAAAGTTCAGGTCGTTTTCATCTAACTTTTTCACGTAGCCTTTTCAGCACTTCCAAAAAGTAAACTTGGTTAACTGTTTGTCCAGTTGGTACAAATTCACAATGAATAATCCCTTTGATATCAAAAAAGGTTAGCAACATCTTTGCAATAAGTTCACGAACTTAATTGTCTGACCTCGTATAGGCCTTCATAATATTCTTGTATGATCTTTTGTATTGAGTTGTCGGAAAAGTCATGATGCATTTTTGCAATGAAAAGCATAGAAAAACACGTCATGACATTTCCAACAACCCAATATTTCTGTGGTATCTGTCATAACTTCTCTTTCATTTCCGATTTTGCTTATTTGTTTCTTTTCTCTTTTTTCCTTAGTGATAGCCAGGAATTTGTCAATTTTATTAATCTTTACAAAGAATCAGCTCTTTGCTGCATTTTTTTCTATTGTCTGTTCTCTATTTCACTTAATTCTGCTCAATTTTTATTATTTCCTTCATTCTGCTGACTTTGGGTTTCATTTATTCTTTTTCTAATTCTTTAAGATGTAATGTGTTAGATTGTTTATTTGGGATTTTTCTTGTTTCTTGAGATAGGCCTGCAATTATATAAATTTCCCCCTTATTACTGCTTTTGCAGAATCCCAATAATTTTGATATATTTTCATTCTCATTTGTTTCTGTGTATCTTTTTATCTCTTTTATTTTCCCTTTGACCCAGCTGTTCTTTAGTAGCATGTTTTTTAATTTCCACATATTTGCAGTTTTCCCCACTTTTCTTTTGCAGTTGCTCTCCCAATTTCATTTATTTACTTTTTTTAAATTATTTTTTTATTTTTATTTTTTTAGCTGAGCCATCCTGCTGCCTGTTGGCAGCTCAGCGGCAGCTCAGCTCGGGCTAGGCATTGAACCACTGTTGCTCAGAGCTCACACTCTTGAGCGAGCTCTTACCCAACTGAGCTACTCAGCCGGTCCTGATCTCCCAATTTCAAAGCATAGTGGTCAGATAATATGCTTGGCATGATTTCAATCTTCTTAAATTTGTTGATGTAATGTGTTAGGTTGTTTATTTGGGATTTTTCTTGTTTCTTGAGATAGGCCCGCAATGATATAAATTTCCCTCTTATTACTGCTTTTGCAGAATTCCAATAATTTTTATATATTTGCATTTTCATTTGTTTCTATGTATCTTTCGATCTTTTATTTTTTCTTTTACCCAGTTGTTCTTTAGTAGCATGTTTTTTAATCTCCACATATTTGTGGTTTTTCCCACTTTGTTTCTGCAGTTGATCTCCAATTCCAAAGCATTGTGGTCAGAGAATATGCATGGCATAATTTCAATCTTCTTAAATTTGTTGAGGCTAGACTTGTGTACCAACATATAGTCTATCCTTGGGAATGTTCCATGTGCACAAGAAAGGAACGTATAGTCTGGTGTTCTGGGATGAAAGGCTCTGTAAATGTTGATCATCTCCATTTTGTCTAATGTGTCATTTAAGGTTGATATTTCCTTATTGATTTTCTGTTTGGATGATCTATCCATAGCTGTCAATGGCATATTTAGGTACCCTACTATAATTGTGTTTTTGTCAGTTTCTCCCTTTAGTTCTCTTAGTAGTTGCTTCATATATTTTGGTGCTCCCTGATTGTGAACATATATTTTCATAAGTGTTATGTCTTCTTATTGTATGGTCCCCTTTATCATTATGAAATGGCCATCTTTGTCTCTTGTTACCTTTTTTATCTGAAGTCTATTTCGTGAGATAAAAGTATGAATACACCTGCTTTTCTCTGGATGCCATTTGCTTGGAGTATCATTTTCCATTCTTTCACTTTGAGTCTATATTTGTCATTGAAGCTGAGATGTGTCTCTTGAAGGCAGCATATGGTTGGGTTTTGTTTTTTGATCCAACCTGCTTCTCTGTGCCTTTTCATTGGTGCTTATTGATATATAAGCATTGCCTATAGCCATTTTGTCTTTTGTTTTCTGGTAGCTCGGTGTCTCCATTGTTTCTTTGCCTTTGTGTTTCTGTCTGTTACTTTAGTTTGCTGATATTCTATGATTTTTTCCCCCCTGTTTCCTCTTTTTTTTTTTATGTTATGTGTCTCAGTTATGGATAATTTTTTTGAGTGGTACGATTAAGTTTATGTAAAAGAAAGTTTCATATATACAATAGTCCATTTTCTTCAGCATGCATCTTATCTCTATTCCCCTTCGCAAATTCAGATCTTTACTCCCTCCCCTTTTATGTTTTTGTCGTCACACATTATCCTTATTTATGCTGTGAGTTCATTTTCAAATTGCAGTAGCAAATTGTCTTCTTCCCTTTTTATTATTTTTTATGTCATTTAACCTTTATGTTATATTTAAGTGTACAGTGCCCTATTCTGAGACTTGAGAGTTAAAATAAATGAAAGAACTCTACAAGAGCTATCAGACTCTATCAGAAAGAGGAATATAAGAATAATAGGTATACCAAAAAGAGAAGAGACAGAGAAGGGCACGGAGAGCCAACTCATAGTCAAGGAGAACTTCCCAAACCTCTGGGAAGAAATGGATCTTCAAATCCAAGAAACAAAGAGAACACCTAATTACCAAAATCCTAAAAGGCCTTCTCCAAGGCACATTATATTGAAACTGCCAAAAATTAATGACAAAGAAAGAATTCTCAAGGTAGCCAAAGACAAGAAGACAATAAGCTACAAAGGAAAGCCCATTAGATTATCATCAGATTTTTCAGCAGAAACTCTATAAGTTAGGAGGGAATAGAATCAAATATTCAAACTATTGAAAGAGAGAAATTACCAGCCAAGAATACTATATCCAGCAAAGCTAGCTATCCTTTAGATATGAAGGCGTAATAAAGACTTTTCTCAGGTGTGTTTGTGTATTGTACAGGGAATCTTTTGTTAAATTACAGCTGTTTAACTTATTGTAACTTCAAGGGGAGAGATCAATGGGGAGCCCTCATGACACCAGGTCTCTATATGCTACTTCTTGAATGACATCCATTCTGATACATAATTAACATTTATTTAATAAGAGTGATATTATAAGTAGGTTAATTCTCAAATATTCAATAATAATATGAAAAATCTTACTGGTCTGACGTCACCACAGGAAGTGGTAAATTGTCGAGCCAAGCCAAAATCAAGCATGTAACATTTCCTCCATGTACTAGGAAAGCGCCCCATGGCAAAGTTTGACTAGAAAAATAAAGAAGGAAAATATGCATACTCTTATAATAATTAGTCCTTACATCTTATCCTTCCTATATTTTAATTCTTCTATGTAACTATATGACACACATGTTCAAAATATACTATCTTAGTCAATGATATTTCCTGGATATCAATTTCATTGTAGATTCTATCAATACCTACCATGTTTCCCCAAAAATAAAACTGGGTCTTATATTAATTTTTGCTCCAAAAGGTATTTCTTCATTTATTCATGTACAAAAAACTACATTTATTCAAATACAGTCATGTCTGGCTGATGATCTTAACTGGGGCTTATTTTGGGCTAGGGCTTATATTACAAGCACCCTGAAAATCATGCAAGGGCTTATTTTCCAGTTAGGTCTTATTTTCAGGGAAACACGGTAACATTAGGTGAACTTGGAGCAACAAAGAATTTAAGCAACTGTATAAAGTTACATACAACACAACACTAACTTAACTGGAATCAGAACTCTAAGTTCTTTGAACTTTTAGTCTTAAGTCACTGCTTAAATAAAAACACAATCCCTATTTTTTAAAATGGGAGGAACTAGGTGTGAGCAAAATCAAATACATAGCTCAGAAATTTAAATGAATATCCTATAAACATCATAATGCTGAAGTTTGCTAAGTGTAAAAATTAAAATACAATTTTAAAAACAGACTTAAAGAAATACTTTGCATCCTTCCTTAATAAAAATAAATGTTAACATTAAATGAGCACAGTTGCAAAGATGGGTATGTAAACAAGAGAATTTGTAAAAGCAAAGCCAAATTGTTAGAGGATTGTTAGCTTTTATTTTAAAATACTGTTCTACTTAGGGAGCTTTCTGATGAAAATAGAAACTCTTCAATCAACATGGTTCTCAAATAATGACATTTAGTTTGGCACAGAAATAAGAGCCAGAGAAATCTACATTACACCAAGTCTGACTCTACTGTTAATTTTAGTTGGCATTTTCATGTAAACTATTTTAATTTTAAAATCACGTAGCAACAAATGGGTGTAATTTTCAACTGCATCAACCAACATACAAATTTATAGTAAATGTATCAGAAATGGATCATCTCCCCCTGTAAGCAATAAAAAAAACAAGAAGAAAAAAATAAAAACATATTTCACAGTTATGGAAATGACAAATAGCAAAATAAGAAAAATAGTAGCAAAAAAATACTATATATTGCACTCAGAAGAAAAAACATGGTCTTTCACAATTAATGGTTTCTTATAACTTGTCACTTTAGAAAGAGCTCAAAGAAGACCATGCCAACATCTAAAAGCAACATATGTATATATTTTTAACTAATATCAGGAAAAAGAAATATAAAAAATAACTACCAATGTAGGTATAAGGCTAAGTAATTAGCAATGTTAACACACATAATAATAATTAAGCGTTAATCATTTTTAATTTGGCTGCAGAGCAACATTTTCATTGTATTTGAGAAAAGCTCTTGAATATGTTATAATTGATAATTACCATTTTTTTAAAAAAATTAAGAGGCAGGTTACATTTTGCTTCCAGTTACATCTTTGCCACAATTAAAATATTACCTTGTACTTAATATAGAAAGCAAATACAGAAAGCTACATTTGTAATTTATTGTGTCCCATCATAAGATTAATAAGAGTACCAGGCAAACTCATTCTGTGTTCTGGCTGGAAAAGGACTCCCTTACCGGTTTGATGTCTCGGTGCAAGAATCCCACAGAATGGATGCTCTCAATAGACTCCAGAATCTGTCTACCCAACCTAAGAGTAGTACTAATGGTGAATGTGCCCCGGGACTGGCTACGACGTAGATCCGCCAGGTTCCGACCCTATGGAAATCAAATAAACGCTTTTAATGTGGTACTAAAACTATGTTGTAAGAAAAGATGGGGGATTATTAATTTACCATTAAAATGTTTTGACTGAAATAGCAAGAATTTAACCCAAATCATGATTCTCTTAAGATAATGCATTAACATTTCAGACAAACTTAAGAATAACCATTTTATGAACATATTATGTCATGTTTCCTTTTGTTTCTGATGTTATAACAAAAATTAATTTTGATTATTTTAAAAGGTATAAAATATATATATACCCAGAGCAATCATTACTGCCTAACACACAAACTACAAACTACTTAACTTTTCTGTGTTACAGTTTCCTTATAAAATGGGGCCAATAATACCAACCTCACATGTGATATGTGAAGATTAAACAAGATCCATGTAAAGTGTTTAGAATATTGTCTGGCATGCAATGCGTACTCAATAAATGCTAATTATTTTTATTATGAACAAAAATGGTATGAAACAAACTATTACTTATAGCAGTAGATAAGTAATAAATGTATCTAGCCTGAGTATTTACATTCATGATTGCATTTAATCCTCATAGCACCCTAAACAGAAGTTGTTATTCCTGTTTTAGAGATGAGGAAATTAAGGCTCAGAGAGTTTAAATAATGCTAACCTGTTAAGGTAAAGCTGTTTTTCTTTCTTCTTTTTTTTTAAAAGATTTTATTGGGGAAGGGGAACATGTTAGGGAATCAGGAAAGGGGAACAGACAAGCTGCTGTCCTTTTGTTCTTCAGTCTAGTTGAGGATGTCGCTTCACTGGCCCATGTTGGTATTACCATTGCACTCTTCCCGGGTGAGGCAGATTGGTCGCCAGTCACAGGATGGCCACTAATGGTGCCTCTTGGCAGCTCACGCTGGCTGCCGGCCACTCAAGATAGCTTTACAGCAGCCCACTGCAGCCTCACTGCAGCCTTCGCCATCACCGGCAACTCACGGCAGCCCAGCTCCAGGTCAAGCTGTTGTTCACCATCTTAGCTGTAGAGGGTGCAGTGTCACTGGCCCTCATGTGGGATCCAAACCAGGGCCCTGCTGCTCAGAGCTGGCGTCCCAAGCCAGCTCTTAAACAACGTGCCACTCAGCCGGCCCTAAAGCTGTTTTTCAAATCTATGTCTGTCTGACTCCAAAGTGTTTATTTTCTACCTCACAGTGCTGTTCCACTCAGAAGGTTCCTTACTGCCTAGGTAACATACCAGTAATCTGATGAAAAGTGCAGGGTTACAATGCTGCAGTTCTACCTCCCAAAGAACGGAAATTGGCTCCTATATCTCAAGGAATTTAAATATCCAATCTATCTACTTCATTTTGTAGTGTATGTTTGGGATTAATACCACTAATAACATCACCTCAACTAAAGACAGTTGACTGACTTTTGAAAAAGTTATAAATTCTTAAATTACGTAAGTACCATTTAAAACAAAATATTAAATAGCACTCAAGAAATCAAAGAATTGAAAAATTATAGGAAAATCAGGAGCATTTCATACTTTGGATCTTCTTTTAAAATGCAGTTTCCCTACAGCATAAATTGGTAGTTATCTTTATTGCTTTTTTTTAATGTTAGGGGAATCTGTTTTCTATATTCTTAGCAAATGTAAAATAAGCGCTAATCTAGAGCAATGTCCTTTATAGTCCCATAAAGAGTACCTAACAAATTTTATTAGCATGCTAATAATTTTTTTTTCAAAAATCAATACTTTGATTGTCAAAATATAATACTGCAACTTTACTTGCAAACAATTTCCACCATCATAAGAGCTTTTTGAGAGGAAATCAGTTAAACTGAATTTATAATACTAGTAATAACTTTAAAATTTTAAGTCTTTTAAAATGTAAATCTAAGGTATCAATGAACAAAATCTGAGAATATAAATACAAGGCTCGCGAGAATACGGGGAAAGAGCTATTAACATGGTAAATGCATGCAGGTTTGAAACACCAAATTATACTTCAGAATAAATACTACAAATGGTGACTTTTATAGAGAAAAACTGAAAATAATCTATATGTCCATTAATAAATGAACAAGTCAATAAATCATGGGACAGTCACCTTACTGATTGATATGGAGCCACTAAAAAAAGACAACTGTATATATTAATTTGAAATGAAATATTATTAAGAAAAAGCTAATTCATTTTTCCTTAAGTAATTCTATAAATTTAACATGATCCCAATAAAATGTAAATGATTTTAGTTATTAAAGATTTGAAACATACTTAAAAGGAGAGAAAATAATATAATGAACACTCATATACCTACCTATCACCCAGAATTAACAATGATCAATTCATGGCCAATCTTGTTTCACTGGTTATCCACTCTTCCTCCCACCCCCACACTCAACACATACCCTCTCCTCTCCCACACACGTGTTGGATTATTTTCATGTAAATCCCAATCATATCATTTCATCTACATATATTAAAAAGTGCATAAGAGCAAAGAGATGAAAATACAAAATAAAAAAGGTTATTAGTAATTCTATTATCAAAAATTCGAAATGGAAGTATAAATATGAACCATAATATATTTTCTTTAAAAAAATGCATATCTTGAATCCATCCATTCACTTTAAAAGAATTTAAAACAATGACCAACCCAATTGTAACACACATGCATAGTATCTAGATTGTGGTCTCTAAATACCATTTCCTATTAATAGTAATCAGAGCTTAATGGAGAAATGTCTGATTTCAGCTCTGGAGCATGAAATATATGAACCAGGTATACAATGTTGTACCAGAAAGTAAGGATGCTAGCAAAGACTACTGCAGTCTAGTCCTGTCAAAATGAATCAGGATCCAACTTGAAGCAAGTCCTGCTAGCCAAAGATGGGATAATTTGAACATCAAAAAGAAAAACAAGTGCAATGACTAAAAGACATAAAATATATTATATCTATGAACTCATAACTATATTTTTTAAAAAGAGAAAGCTAACTAGTCCCCCTTAGGGAACCAAGTTATTATTCTGAAAACTAGTAAATAAAAGAATCAAGTATTGGTCCTGTCATTCCTGTATGAATTGTACCTCAGGATAACCTAATAGTTGGTGGAGTGCTTTTTAAAGAATTACAGCTAATAAAGGAAGAAGACATGATGAAATTAGAACAGTACATTTGTAGCCCCACTGAAGTAATGGATCTAGGAATAATTACTAATGGGTTGATAAAACCTAAGAAAAAACCCACTGGAAACTTTAAAATGAATCAATCAGGCTGAGAGCCCCTGAACCTCACTGATCTTAACATTCCTAAAAGAGAGACAATCAGAAACTACCTACTGATGTGATGCAATATGAAGCACAAAACTCACCTCTAAAGTATTCCAACCAAATAAAACAAAACTGGATCTGATCTAATCACCAGTTTATAGAAAATAGAGGGGATGGAAGAACATGTTAAATATCATAGTGAGATAATCAGTAAAATCCAGAATATGGGAACTTCTGCATGACAAATGTCTACGTTTTTTTCAATGACAATAAAAACAACAAAAAGAAGACTGTACGGAAAAGAAAAAAAAAAAAGAGGAAACCTATACAGTAAAAGAGGCTTAAGAGATATATCCACCAAATGCAATGTGTGAACCCTCTCTGGAACCAGATTCAAATAAAACAAATATTAAAAAAAAAAAAAAAAGAAGAGGGAGATACAATCAAGGTAATCTGAAGACTGACTTTGTAATTGATGCTATTATTTAGGAATTATTGTGTAGTGTGATTAAGATTGAAAAAAGGAACCCTTAACTCTTAGAAATATATATTGATATATATTTACAGATAAAATATGCCTTGGATTTGCTTTGAAATAATCTGGGGAGGGAGAGAAGGAGAACATACTTGGAACAAGATTGGCCATATATTGATAATTTTTTTTTAAGATTTTTATTGGGAAATTGGGGGGCGGGTAACAGCGTTGGGGAATCGGGGAAGGGGAACAGACAGGTAGACAAATTGCTGTTTTTGTTCTTCAGTCTAGTTGTGGAGGACATCGCTTCACTGGCCCATGTTGGTATAATCATTGCGCTCTTCCCGGGTGAGGCAATCGTTCGCCGGTCGTTGGTCGGCTGCTCACAGCGGCTCCCGGTAGCTCACACCGGCTACCAGCCGCTCACGTAGCTCACGGCAGCCCACTGCAGCCCTGCTGCAGCCTATGCCATCGCTGGCGACTCACAGCAGCCCAGCTCCAGGTCGAGCTGTTGTTCATCATCTTAGCTGTAGAGGGCCAGTGTCACTGGCCCTCAATGTGGGATCCGAAACGCAGCCCTGCTGCTCAGAGCTGGTGCTCCCAAGTGAGCTCTTAACCAGTCGAGCCACTCGGCCGGCCCTATATTGATAATTATTGATGGCAGGTGATGAGTACATGAGTGTTCATTATACTCTTCTCTCTACTTTTGTATATGTCTAATTTTTTCCACAATAATAAAAGTTTTGAAAAATATGGCAATTCTGATGTTAGGCAATCTAGATCTACATCTGTACTGGTTACAGGATTCAAACTATTTTTGCCCTTCCCTAGGTGATATGCGTATCACAAAACATCGCCCTTTGGCTCTACTAAGGATGCTCACGTAAAGCCTCAATGGTGACAGGATATTAAATGAAACCTGGACAAGGTCTTGCCAATAAAAAGGAGAAAAGAAATATGTAAAACTGCTTGAGCCCTATAAGTTTTTAAGACCCAATATAATAATAGCTAGAATTTTTACAACAGAGATAGGATTTATTCCTTAAAAATTTTAAGCAGATATATAATTGAATTGCCAGGAAGAAAAGAGTCAAGTTAACTTAAGAATAATGAGTTTAGGGCCGGCCGAGTGGCCCATTGGCCAGAGGGCCCCGGTTCGGATCCCACATATGAGAGCCAGTGACGCTGCCTTCTACAGCTAAGATGCTGAACAACAGCTCAACCTGGAGCTGGGTTGCCGTGAGTCACCGGCGACAGCGTAGGCTGCAGCCCGTGCTGCAGTGGGTTGTCGTAGGCTACCGTGTGTAGCCAGCAGCCAGTGTGAGCGGCCCTCAAGCCACCATGAGCGGCTATCCAGAAGCCGTTGACTGATCTGCCTCGCCTGAGAAGAGCACAACGATGGTGCCAACTTGGGCCAGTGAAGCAACATCTCCACAACTAGACTGAAGAACAATAAGACAGCAACTTGTCTGTTCCCCTTCCCCTAATTCCCCAATAAAAATCTTTAAAAAAGTGCCGGCCGAGTGGCGCGTTGGTTAAGAACTGGCTTAGGATGCCAGAGGGCCCCAGTTCGGATCCCACATATGAAGGCCAGTGACAATGCCCTCTACAGCTAAGATGCTGAACAACAGCTCAACCTGGAGCTGGACTGCCGTGGGTCGCTGGCGATGGCATAGGCTGCAGTCCCCTGCTGCAGTGGGCTGCCATAAGCTACTGTGTGTAGCCAGCAGCCAGTGTGAGCGGCCAGCAGCCACCGTGAGCAGCCGTCCAGAAGCCGGCAACTGATCTGCCTCACCCGGGAAGAGCGCAATGATGGTGCCAACTTGGGCCAGTGAAGCGACATCCTCCACAACTAGACTGAAGAACAAAACAACAGCAACTTGTCTGTTCCCCTTCCCCCGATTCCCCAATAAAATCTTTAAAAAAAAAGATTAATAAGTTTAGGGTTTTTAGAAGAAATTAGGAATGTCAGTGAGAAGCTGGGCCTGAGTATGAAAATTTTATCAAAATATACAGGGGAAACCTAGTAGTTATCTTTAACATGTCAAGAGAGTAAGTAGCCTCTAGTAGTTATACGAACTTTAGCCTTGTCCCAAATCAAGTCAACCATACCTGTAGGGGCAGGGATAGTTAGTGGTGGGTTAATTTTCTTACGACAGGAAGAAAACAGCATTCAAGTTAAATGGAAAGTTATTGGACAAGTCCACAGGAGCTTGCCAAATGCCACAAAAGCCATCATTATCTGATATACACCAGTCTCCTTAGTTTTCCCAGACAAAGAGCCTTTCCATTTCCAGAAAGTGAGATTTAGGTTAAGTACAAAAATAAAAACAAGTATGTGCTGAGACTGAGAGAGTGTGCAGACTAAAAAAGCTCCTGTCCATATTCTCCAGTGAGTAGTAACCTAACAAAACTGAAGAGTTTTCTCTAATTGTGCTAAGAATACTGGCCTCAGGTTTTCACCAAGCACTAACACCCATCAAATTAGTCAGTCCCAGGAAAACCACAAACCTCTTGAACTTCAGCCTTTTCATCTGCATGAGGATAAAACCTGTCCTATCTTCTCCATGGGGATATGGTGAAAATCAAATAAGACATACATAAATCCAGAAGAAAAGTATAAAATATCATACAAAAAACCCCTCTATTATTATTGCCCAAAGTGAGAAAAAGCAGGGTCCATATGAATAATCTAAAAGGTACAGGAATAGCTGCTTCAAGAGATGAAACCGTACTGGCTCAAGGGATAGTGAATCACATGACTCAAAGACTTTTTAAGAGAGATTAAGATCTTTAAATCTAAATCAAATGCTGAAGGCTAGCTGAGGGTAACAAGAAAAGCCTTCTGATGAGAAGAGGAAGAATTTAGGCCAGGATCTATGTCTCTGAAATCACTGCTTTGTAGTTAAGTTGAAAGAAAATAAAAAAACCAAATGCCCCAAACAGATTTTGCTCAAGATGAAAGAAAACCCTGAGAACTCTAAGTTAGGTAGCAAGGTGAAGCATGGCTTTTACACTTTGAGGGTGACTACAGTTCAGAGTGTGTGTGTGTGTGTGTGTGTGTGTGTGTGTGTGTGTGTGTTCAGGGACAGAGGTAGTGTGAGAATGGGGTGGTTTCCCTCTCCTCTCTGCTGCAGTCATTACTCCAATATTCCCTTTCTGCATTTCTTTCTCTGCTACTGCAACCTAACTCCACTTTCCATCTAAAAGACAAAGAACAGAGCAATGTTAATGGATGAAAAGAGAAAGAGGAATGGCATTTCTTCTCTACCTCAACTAATACTTCAATTTTCAAGCAGTAAAGGTTGGTACTCAAGCTCACAAATGGAAAACCAGAGTTCTTAAGGTGACGAAGGGTAGAAAGGCAAGAGATAGGGACAGGGCAAGACTCACATTATATCCAACAATCCATGCAGGCATTGAAAACTTTGCAATGATGACAATTAGTAAGGATGTGGATCAACTAAAATAGTTGACAACCCTTCTGTCTTTGGAAAAATCTGTATCACGTCTGTTTAAATAAAGTTTCATCTGCATAGTATAAACCATTCTGAGATGATACCAAGACTGTTATCTTTACTCATATCCACTGTAATTAGGTACTTTGATCAAAATTGAAAAATTTGGGCCGGCCGAGTGGCGCATTGGTTAAGAGCTGGCTTGGGACGCCAGAGGGCCCCAGTTCGGATCCCAAATATGAGGGCCAGTAACACTGCCCTCTACAGCTAAGATGCTGAACAACAGCTCAACCTGGAGCTGGGCTGCTGTGAGTCGCCGGCGACGGCGTAGGCTGCAGTGAGGCTGCAGTGGGTTGCCGTGAGCTACCGTGTGTAGCCAGAAGCCAGCGTGAGCAGCCCTCAAGCCGCTGTGAGCAGCTGTCCAGAAGTTGGCGACTGATCTGCCTTGCCCAGGAAGAGCGCAATGATGATGCGAACTTGGGCCAGTGAAGCAACATCCTCCACAACTAAACTGAAGAACAAAAAGACAGCAATTTGTCTGTTCCCCTTTCCTCAATGCCCCAGCGCTGTTCCCATTCCCCAATGCCCCAATAAAAACCTTTAAAAATTTTTTTTGAAAAATTTTAAGATACATTTTCAAGGTAACCTACCTGCAACTGCATGACCACATAGTTGAATCGTTCATTCCTCCCACAGCCAATAAATCTACAAACATGGTCTTTCCCTGGATAAAAGAAAGAAAACAGTGAAAAAGGTTATACCATGGTTTCTCTTATAAAAATTTAGTATTTGTTTTTCTGTATAATATTTTATGATGAGTATAAAGATCCTGTCTTAAGGATCTTTAGGAAATTTGCATTATTCAAATTTTCTATCCATCTTCCCCCAGATCCTACACTGCTCATTGAGTAGGCAAATAAATGTTTATTAAATGACTAAATACACAAAAGAATGAAGGAACAAATGAATGATCATTTATTTAGGAAGAAAAGGATTAAGAGGTCATTTCAGATCAACCGTCCCAGACATCATACATATGAAAGCCAGAAAAGCCATATATAAGAACTATATTAGGGATATAAACCCTGAGTTTTAGATATGGTATGCCATTCACCACTATAAGACTTTGGTGAGTTAATCTTTCTGGGCCTCATTCATCTGAATGAATTAGCTCAGTGGCTTTCATCCCGAGTTCCACATGTAAAATCCAAGGAGGTGCTGCCTATGGTGAGGGAAGAAGTGGAACAGGCAGAAATCTAGGGTCCTGGCCCTGGTTCAACAAAAGCAAATAAAGGTATTAAAAGAGGATCAAGACTAGTGGGTTCCAGAGCCAGAAGAGGGCATGTGACTGGGGCACGGTGAATAAAGGTAGGGAAAACAGAATGAGATGGTCCAGGAGAAGCAGGCAGGCACCTGATCTGAAGGGTCCTGGACTCCATGATAAGGAATCTGAACCACAAGTACAGATCAATGTTTTCTAACCCTGGCTGCTCATTAAAATCATCTGGGAAACTTTTTGGTGACTCCTAAACTCTGTACTGATTCAGAATCTGTGGGGGGAATATACAGGATAGCAGCTTTTCAAAAATTCCCTAAATGATCTAAAAGCACATGGGCCGTGGATGGATATTTGAAAACTACTGTTGGGTAATGAGAAAGATTTTAAAAAAGGAAAAACACACTTAAAAAATTGCATTTTAGAATCTCACCATGGTACCAATAAGGAAGACAGACTACAGAGAGTTCACTCCAGGAAGCAGAAAGGTCACTCTGGGGATAGTTACAATATCCCAAGAAAGGGAATAAGGGAGTGAATCTTAAGTATTACAGTAGAGAGAGACAGAAAAAAGAGGGTAAATCTGAGAGATACTCAAAATGTACTTTTTGACTAGAAATTGGTATAATTAAATGAAAAGTTGTACCAAAATAAGAGAACATCGTAGGTTGTATAAATGTTAAAGGAAATCAGAATGTTGAGTTTGAAGATAACTAATTGAATTCAGTAGACATTGTAATTTCAAGCCTGGTACTGAGATGAAAAGCTGAGCCCCCAAAATACATTGTGGAACCATTAGTTCATGGAAGGTAGGTTCATGGAACTACAAACTTAGATGGAAGATTGCCAAGTTGAAAGAATAAAGAATGAGAAGAAAACAAACTTAAGAACAGAATTCTTAAAAATGCAATATTTAAAGTATGAGCAAAAATAAAAGTGTCCATGAAAGAATAATAGCATGAGAGGTAGGAAGAAATTATGAGAAAGGGGTATCATGGAAACCAAAAGAAGAGCATTTTAAGGTGTAAGTGGCTGATGACAAGTGCTATAGAAGGGCTGAAAAGTGCCGATTAATATAAAAATTAGGAGATCACTAGTGAGTGGAAGGGGCAGGAGCCAGTTTATAATAGGTTAAGCAGTAAGTGGAATATGAGACAATTGAGGGTAATCTTTGAAGAAGCTTGAGGAAGTCACAGACCAAGAGCTAGAAGGGCAAGATTTGGTAGAATGAAGTGAAATATGCATATATCATAACATTCAAAAAAGACTTTGTCCACTGACTGACTTAAGTATAAATACAATCCAGACTTATTTTAGTTAGTAATTCTATATTTTTCTTTTGCATCTGGGTTATCACATTGTTCTCTCATTTTTCATGTTTCATTGAAAAGAATAGGTGAAATGGGAACAATAATTCACAATGAGTACATGTTTATCACTTTACATGTATTTTACATATGTTTGCAAAACTGTGTCATCTAGTAAATTATAGTAAGAATGAAAGGATAAAATTGTGGTCTATTAGCAACTTACTCTTTTCTTCAGCTTCACAGTAACAAAAAAAATCATTTAAATAGTATTTTCCTCTTATTATCCATTCCACCTTCCTATCATGTAACATTTAAACACAGTATCTCTATTACAAAGACATTTCAACCATCTAAAAACAAAAGGCTATATACTAGATTTAACTCCTCTTGGAATGCTCTTTTAAAAATATCTTTATAATAAAATTATACTAAAATACTATTTATCTCTTCATACTAAAACCAGAAAAAAAGATAAGACATCAAATAAACTGTATACCCTTTATTGGGTAACCAAAACTCAAAGTCAGTAGCAAATTTTCTAGAACTCACTGATACATCTTCATTGCTTCAGGTAATAGCTGAATGAGCTCTTAACTCATACTTAATGACATAGTGTACCAGTGCTCTTCTAGTTCAGATATATGCAATTTAATGAAACTACTTAATATAGTTTAATAAATATGTACAAGTTTTTGGAAGCATGGAAAAACTGCAATTTAATTGGAACAGTAACTCTTCACCACCACTTAGAGTAATTGTTAAGATAACTTTTTGTAATAACTAGTACAAACTGAGGTTTTCAAGCATGATTTGGCCTGTGTTTTAGAAAGGTAATGCTATTCACCATTAGATGCTGATTTGTGAAAGAGATGAGAGGCAAAGAGATCAATCAGGAGGTTTAATACAATAGTCCAGGTAAAAGATGAGGAAGGTTCAAATTAAAGGACTGGGAGTGAGAATTTAAAGAGGAAAGATTTCAAATTAAGCTTTAAGAGACAGAATAGACAGTTTGCAGAGAAGAGAGATGGAGAAAGTGAAGGAAGACTTAGCTTAAGCTAAATTGACAAGATAAACTATTAATATATACCAACACAAAAGTTATGGTGTATGAGAGAGGATAATGATCTCTACTCTGGGGATGCTGCACTGATTAGTCTACAGGACATGCAAGTTGTGTAAAAAATGTAGGTGTACAGTTTAACAGAGAGGTCAACTATAGAAAGTTAACAGATTTGTGTATTGTCGATGGACGGAAGAATTGATTGCCCAGAGAAGATGGGTAGTTTGAGAAAACTGGATCAATGCCAGAACACCAGCATGTCGGGGAAAGACAAAGGAACTCATGCAGGAGACTGAGAAGGAAATGTGAAGCTCAAGGACTTTTACACCTCACAACTTCCATATTTCCTGTGAAGAATTAATCAAAGTAATTTCTAAAAATGAGGGGAGCAGGGTGGGTAATGCTTGAAGGGAATGTTAATAATGCAAAAAAACTGCTGTGGAGAAAAGAAGACAGAGAACCAGTTTGTCAAGCATAAAATAACATGAAGTGAGACCAGTAAATTATCATTCAGATAAAAATCCAGAATAAAATTCAGATACCAGAACTATAGCAATCTCTATGGTAAATTAGGCAATCTACTGGGTCATATTTAGTTGGTAAGCAAACAAACAAACAAAAACCACAAACGTTCCTACACGTCTGTGCTGCTAGGTGTGATCCTGACTCTCCATTCACAAAAATAGTTCTTCAACTTCATGTACAATGAGATTGGAGGAGAGGTCCAGAAATATTACAGAAAAAAATTCAAAGTCAATTTTTAAAAAAAGTTTATTGGGGTGACAATGGTTAGTCAAGTTTCATAGGCTTCAAGTGTACAATTCTGTAATACATCATCTACATATCATATTATGTGCTCACCACCCAGAGTCAGTTCTCCTTCCATCACCATATATTTGATCCTGTTTACCCTCATCTACCATCTCCCCAAAGTCCATTTTATAAACTTTTAGTTAATTCCCAGAATGGAAGACATCTAAATGATCTCAATGACACTTTAGAACAGAACTATCTTGTGTGGAAGTGATGTCAAACCCAAGCCAACACTCATTTTATTCCTATCTGATTAACTTCCATAGGTTCTCATAATTGTACATAAAGGCCCCAGAATATGTTAACTTAATTTCAGCATCTTAAGGCTATACTGCGTTTGCTTGTCTAACCCCTTGACTATAACTACTTCAAGGGTAAGGACTGTAGTACCCAGCTCTGCATAGAGTGCATACTAAGTGAACAGATGAATTAAGTTTTTTATAACAGTTTTACTGAAACATTAATATACCAAAATATTCACCCATTTAAAGTGTAAAATTCAATGGTTTTTAGTATATTCACAAAATTGTGCAACCATCACCACAATCATGAGAACATTTTTTTTTTTAATTGGGGAATTGGGAGATGGGAACAGTGCTGGGGAATTGGGGGAAGGGGAACAGACAAGTTCCTGTCGTTTTGTTCTTCAGTATAGTTGTGGAGGACGTTGCTTCACTGGCCCAAGTTGGCACCATCATCGCACTTCCTGGGTGAGGCAGATCAGTCGCCAGCTTCTGGACAGCCGCTCACAGTGGCTTGAGGACCGCTCACACTGGCTGCTGGCTACACATGGTAGCCCATTGCAACCCACTGCAGCAGGGGCTGCAGCCTAC